TAAACTTGTTTCTGGGACCACATTGCTATAAATAAATGCAATAATAATGCTTTAGCCTTTTTTCTGCCCAGAGAAGGTAGTGACACTAAAAAAACAATTCGTAGGAGTTGCTCATATATGTATGTACATTAGACTGCATCACTCCCCATATAAAAAAAAATCGGTACTAGTTTTCCATTGGAATTATAAAATCTATTATATTTTAAGACGTCCACCAAAATATTTCGAAAAAATATTAAGATTTAAGTGAGCTGGACCAGTTTCAAAATACCTCCAAAAATGGAGTTTTTTATGAATAAAAATAGTTTCTTAAAATTAAAAAAAAAAAAAATATTTTTAAAAAATTTAAAAAAAAAATTTGAACGGAATAGTAATGATGAGATTTTTGATGCTGTTTTTTTAACTTTTTTCAATGATTGGTATAAGAAAAACTTTAATAACTGAGCCTAAACTCTTCTGATTTAGACTTAAGAGCTGTCGGTGGAAAGGTATTTCTCACTCTTTTTATTTCTTTGCTAATAAACTCATTCAAAGGATGAAAGAGAAAGGTAGGATGAACGAACGTCATTCAAAGATGAATTAAGATGTGTTGGTATTTGAAAAAAAAAATTGTGACACGAATGATTTTTTTTTTTTTTGACAAAAAAACTGTGAAAATACCTTTCTACTGAGATCCCAAAAGTCTAAATCAGAATAGTTTTAGCCCAGTTATTCAAGTTTTTCGTAAATAAAACTTTGAAAAAAGTAAAAAAACAGCATCAAAAATCTCATTCTTACGATTCCGTTGAAAAGATTTTTAAATATTTTTATGCAGGTTTTTTAAGCTTAATCTGTTTTGTCATCTGAGGGGCCTTGTTTCAAAAAGTTCTTAACGAAACTATTTTTATTCATAAAAAACTTCATTTTTGGAGGTGTTTTCAAATCGGTCCAGCTCACTTAAATCTTAATATTTTTCCCAAATATGTTGGTGAACGTCTTAGAATATAATAAATTTTGTAATTCCGGCGGAAAAACCGCAACTTTTTTTGGTGATGCAGTCTAATGTACATACCTAGATAGATATGACTTTTCGAATAGGTGGAAACCCTAATCAAAAGTAGTTCCAAACTAAACCATTCTTATAAATTCTTCGACTGAATTCACTTTTCAAACAGGTGGCAACCCTCAAACCCTCAAACTTGATTAGCAAACTTATTTAATTGGGATACAAACTTCAATTAATTGATTAATTAAGTTGAATTTGGTTTTTCAAATATTATATTAAAATATCTTTAGTCATACACCCAAATTGTAATACATATCCGAACAGTTCTCAAATTTCCTTAGTTTAAATTTGAATTTTTAAACAAGTGGCAACCCTCCTATGTGTACTTAAAAAATTAAGCCTTTACAAAAACATTTCGATTGATATTCATATTTTAATTGATTTAACTTATGAAATAATTTTAATTAAATTTTTTAACAAGTGGCAACTCTCTACAGGCCAAGCCCATTAATTTGACATCTCGATACTATTACGTGGCTGGAGTGGGGCGATACTACACCAAAGCACCAAATGGGAACGGGGAGTATCCATACTCGAAAGGTTGTTTTGGCAATAAGCTCCTCACCATAATCCCTGAGAGCGAGTGTAAAAGTATAGCTTAGTGTTGCCTCCGATCTGTATTAAGAGAGTTTATAAAACATGAACCACTGCTGGATATAGACATAGATCTGTAGCTCTTATTTGAAATTTTAACTGCCTTATTTATGAAAAGTCAAAATTTAGCACATTTTCTGCTAAACCTTGGAGACTCTCCGGCGACGTGTATTCAGTTCAACATTACTCGTTATGTAGTACGTGCAACAATAGAGTTTGCAGCAACAATTAAATTGGTGCGTCCAATTTAGCGCAGTCGGCAATGGAATTAACCAAAAAAAAAGAGCGTTTCTTTATATTGATTTTTTTTTTTCACTGTTGCTGTTCTTAAACGCTCCACCCGCCACACGTAGCAGCTGTAATACATACATACATACATACATACATACATACATACATACATATGTATGAATGTGTTTACTTCATTGTTGGCTTCTTGTTGTTTTAATTATGTTCTTTTTCGCTAGCTGGTTTGCGTGTTTGTGTTTCTTGTTGTTATTGGCGCTGCTTTTGTTGTCTTCAATGTTGACACAGATTTTCAATTAAAGTGATTTTAACCTGTTCTACGTGCTTTGTAAACTCTCCGTGCACAGAGTTGTTGTATTCATTATTGTTGCATTGTTTTCGTATCTGCGATTTATTTTTGTTGTTGCGATTTCCGTTGCAGCTGCACTGCACTGCACTGCACTCTAAGCTGTTGACCTTTTTCCTATGGTTTACACTACTTTACTTTGGCAACAACAAAAAAGTGAAAAATTAAAAAAAAGAAATCAAAAACAGAAAATAATCGCATTTAAGGGAAAGCGAAAAAAATCGGTACGTTGAAGAAATGAGGCAGAAAAAGTGCGCTGAGAAAGTCGTGAATAGATGTATGGATTGGCTGTGAAATGAAATTGGTAAATGAAAAATGAAAATTGAGAAAAAAAATGTCAGACACTATTCGTAGTACAGGAAACAACATAAACAACAACAAGTGTGCCAGCGACACAACTTCATTTTGCCAAACAATCGAAGCGAATCACCAAAGAACGGAGGCAGCGTGCGTACACCGAAGAATAGCATGAAGAATGGCTCGAAGAATGACACACGGCCGTGGAGCAAAGAATGAAAAATCGTATGCTGCTGCGGCTTTGTTGTGTTTTTGCGTTGCCTTTGCTATGCGCACCTTATGGAATCAGTTGTTGTTGTTGTTGTGAGTATGGCCACAAAAGCATTGATCCCTACACTAAATCGATTAGCCCAGTTGCCTAGAAAATGTGAAAACAACAAAATATGCTTGCAGCCGCCTTCACCTCAAACTCAAAAAAAATAAAAATTGGCATAGCAGCTGATGAAGAAGAAGACTAAACAAACCTAAAACAAGAAATGGTCGAGAGAAAGGCAAAACATTGAAGAACAACTGTAACAACTCTGCAAATACAACAACTGTGTAGGTACCTGCATACATATGTATGTATGTACATTAGTAGACTAGCAACAAATATTGACAACTACAATGTCGGAAAGCAAGCAGCAAGCAACAACAACGGCAATAGCAACAGCTGCACCAGCCAGCAACAACTGTGGGAGTAAGTCAAGTGTCTGTGGCAATTGCAACATGCAACAGCGGGTCACAAATGCTTGCCACATTTTGGCTTAGCAGCTCTACACAAACGAGCGTATATTTGTATGCATGCACACCTATACACACATATGTACATATCTACGATTCGCATGCAATATGCAGGTTACTGTTGCGACTCTATTTGCAACATAAAGAAACTTTTTTGCCGTTCGTCGTGTGCTCTCCGCGCGCCACGACAGGCTCACTAGCCACCCCATTTGTATTTGCTTATAGTTTTCGTGGGTGTCGGATTCGGTTGAGATTTATGAACTGATGCATGAAATTGATAGTGAGCTTCATATATAAATATGTATGTATGTATGAGTGTATATATATTTGGTTCTCATTTATCCTCTCTCAATGTTTTGCTGACTGAAATACTCTGAGATTTTAATAACTAAGCTCAGCTCTCCAGGACGTGAGCGATAAGAAAAGTAAAGTTTAAATTCAATTATACATTACATACATACGTACATGTATGTACATTTGTTTATATATGAATTCTTAATTTATAAGTATTATAAATTAATAATTAATTTATAAGTATGTACAAAATTATTTTGAATTTTTTTTTGGTTCTTTTGTATGTATCCATGCAATTTAAAATTTTTATTTAAGTTCAATATTTCGTGTTTATATTCTTTCGTACTAAGTATATTCCAATATGTATTGTATATACACTAATATATTTGTGCAAAAATGTTGATGCTTTGCAATACTTACTTATGTAAATACATGTAGGTAATTATTCAATGCAACCTTATGAAAATTTAAGAAGTGAATCTCTCGAAGAGAAAACAAATCTACCAACAAGTCGAAACAAACTTCAATCAACAATATGTTGCAAGAACTTGTTGCAAAACGGTTAAATGTTGCATTTCCAAGCAACATTGTTTAGTAAAACTGTAATGAACCGGTTCGGCCTCATGTGGCGCTTCTTATGGTAAACTCCGAAATAGCAGCATAGGTACTATATCGTCACCTGAAATGCAAAAAGTTCATTTCGATGCAATGTTGATAACTTTCATCGTTTATATATGGTTCCGGTTCTTTGCGTGGTTTTTAAGGAGTCATTCTATCCGGCAGGTTCACCTCTCTGGCTCGCTTGAGGATTTTCAGGATCCTCATCGCAGGTGTAGAAAATTCAAGATTTAATAAATTTTTAATACTAAAGGAGTGATCTGAAAATACAAGAGCTATGAGCCAAACCCCCGCATGTACCAATGAAAGGTAATACATTCCGCCGTTCATTAACTACACCATAGACCTTCCGTATGTGTTAAGTATGCTGGTATGTAGATGTTTTATATCTATCTGAGTTTGGTTGCTTATTGTTCCTTATTCACTACATTTTAGTCTGCATAAGTGCAATGGGCAAGCGGAATGGACCAACAAATAATTTGGTGAACTTGGTTCCAGTGAACAGCACCTTATTGATGTTGGTTGCCATTTCCGACGTGAGCACTTAATTCCCTTTTTTAAACATCCGATGGGTAGTAAACTTAAATAACTATCAGTTGAATAGACTTTCTGAAGGCTTCAACGATAACTGCATGCGCGTATCAAATGTTAGCCACAAATGTATCAGCAGCATGTTGCTAGCGTTTTCACAACGTCACCATCACCACCCCAACCTCTACTTTCCGGCATTTCCAGTGAGCGGCGCGCTTTTCGTTTAAAACTCATTTTCCACTTCGTTAAAAAGGTAAGACGCAGAGAGAAGTCTCCAGTTGATATACTCACTGACCTGCGCGTACCCACACACACACACACACACACACATAATGGTTCAATTCATCGCGCACCAACAGCTGCATGGAGCGCACCAAAATCCTGCTGACTCTGAGCGACTTATGTTTGGAGTAACATACATACGTACGTGTATGGGCTAGCCAGTTTGCTCCACTGCCATGGCATTGATTCGTACTCCATCCGGTTCGTCGCTACCATCGGCGGCGCTGTCGTTGTGCTAACTAGTATAGCGCATTTTGAGTTTGCGTTCAATTCATTTTTCTTCAGTCCACGACGATTAACCATGACGAACGGTTGGGTGTATTCGTAAAGGCGGCGTTATAAAATTATTAATGTCAATTTGAATGTGAAATCATAATACAAGTGTGCACATTAATGTTGCTAAAAATTTTAAAATTCGTCAACATAAAGGCAATAAATAATTTGCAAATGAAGTGAACCACAGAAATTACAAGGAAACAACACTTAAGGTGAAAAAGAAACGAACAGTTGGATAAGTGTGAAAATTTCAATAAAAAATATACACATCGGTACGCGTTGATTGAAAATTTTTGCTGTGAGGAATTTTGAAGATTTTCGTGAATTTTCGTGTAAGTGTATGTTACTGAATGAAATAGACGACAGCATGTCGAAGTAAAAAATCGTTAAATGCGAAATTGTGCCAAACGAAGCAAAACTAGCCGAAGCTGCGAGGCAAATAGACTGGCAGGCCGGCAGGCTGTTAGGCAGTCCGTTAGCCAGTCAACAAGCTGATAAAGTAAAGCCGCGCATCCTTTTTCGGGCAATGAATTTTGCAACACGCTTACATACGTCGGCGAGAGTGACAGCGCCTGCATTGAAACTACAAAGCGGATGTGAAAATTCCGCTTCTATCAGTGGGTAGTAGAGTATGCGTTGCATTTGTGATTTTCTGGATGTGTGCATTTGGAAAAAAAAACAAAGAAAAAATTACATGCACCAAATCGCTAGAACAAACGTAATTGTGCGCGCGGCAGGAGGTACATCATATTTAGAAAATAATTTGTACGAACAACAACACAGCAAAGTGAAGTGAAATAGAGTTTCGCGTAATGTAAAAAAAATAAATATCGACTGCATAGAATTTTAGTTGTCGAAAATAGACAGTGTTTGGTGTGAGCGCAAATCTTAGCGTTTAAAGCTTTTGGTGGTTAGTGAAAACGATACATTAAAGTTGTAAGTGGATTCGCGAAACATTTCGGAGTAGTCACTAAATAATAAGCTTTTGTCCCATAAAGAAATCAAAACGTTAAGAAATAAAAGTGAAAAAAAACACAAATAAATCAGTGTTTGAATCCCATCTGAGACACACATAAAATGAGTAGTTCTACGACCATGACCCACCCACCTTCGCTAAGCCACACTTACATACACATATACATACATACATTTTAATACGCGTGCACATAAACAACATAAACAACCCTCATTATCGACATAAATGCTGACGTAAAATCTAAACAACAAAGAATAAAAAAAAATTTAGTTGAAGAACTCGTCGACGGCCGCGACAAGGACACGCATTAGACGCAGCAGCGCGTGCTTTATGTTAATTATAAAAGGTTAAGCGCGAATCCCTGTGAAAATTGTGTGTGTGAAAATCAAATGCAAAGCTCAGCATAAGCTCTACAACAAAAAGGAGCACACAGCTCACAAAAGCAATGCTTTCGTGGAGGGAAAACTAAAAAAAAAGTAAAAGCAAAACAAGAGAATTCAAAAATGTAGAGCCAGCGACGCATAAATCATTTACTCAGATTTTGTTTGTTCGTGTTGTTGTTGTGACCCTTTCCCTCTCTCAAGCCAGCAGCGTTTAATTTAGGGGCAAATGTGAAGCAAACATTTCAGACACTCCCACAGGCATAGGATTCATCAAAAAGCGCGTGTAAAGCGTATTTAGAAAAAAGAAAAAAATAACTATTTTTAATTTTCACATTAATACGGAATCGCTTTTATTTTCGACCTTAATTTATCATAGTTACTTACACGCTTTTCCTTTCACCTCTACCCCAAACAGCAGGCGTACGACTGAATTGCGTGCAGAACATTTTGAGTGGAAAGATATTAATAATTAATTAATATTCAAGAAAGTGTAGACACTGAGCCTCACGTTCAGTGAAAAGCTCACGCAAAGGTAAAAACTAATACAAAAAACTACTACTTCAGAAAAAAAACCGGCAAAAAAATGCAGCGACTAGAAAAGTATATAGCTTGTCGCATATCCTACTAAGACTGCAGGTAGAAAGAAACAGTTCACATATCAAGTGGCAAAAAAAAGAAAGCAATACATACAACACAATAAAAGAGACGCATGTCTCCCAAATACAACTAACTGAAATTGCATATCTCGCAAACTCTGCACCGCAAACAACCTTCGCCGAGCAGTATATCCTTTCAATGAAGATACTCAATATGCACTCATGTGCACTAAAAAAGTCCTAAACTCAACTAACTACCATACGTAACAGCTGAGTCGGCGATTAAAAATCGGAAAAAAATGCAAAATCAACAAAAACCACTCTACATCACCTGCCGCTACAGGCCAAGGCAGCAGCGCTCACATCGACATACACATCCATTTCACCTCTGCCGGAAGTCACTGTCGAAAACAACACATAACCGCATCAAATTTCCTAACTCAATTCGCTTGCTGCCACCACTGTGGCCACATCTACTCATCTCGCTACTGCTACTCATCGGCCAGCCACCTGTGTCGCTGGCCACACGCTATAATCGCCAAAGTTCGGGTCATATTTCGTATGGCGCCGCAAGTGGCGGCAATAGTCTTACTACGCCACACTTTCCCCTCGATGCCACCAATACCGTGTACGCAGGTGGCGCTGTCGGCAAGCATCACGCCGCCAACATCAACAACGATGTGTACTCGGTGGCCGACAGCCAGGCCATGACCGACGACTATATGGCGCAGTTCGGTAAGCCACCTGCACCACCATCACCGCCAGCAGTACTTCCCCCACCACCGGCAGTACTGTCACCAGTTTTACCACCACCATATCACACGCACTCGCACGTGCCCGCTGCGGACAACACGTTAATCATACATCAGCAGCCACAGCTGAGCAGCTGTCAGACGGTGTGTGCGTGCAAGTGGAAGGGCGGAAAGCAGACGGTGGAGTGTATTGACCGGCAGCTCATACAAATACCCGAGAATATCGATCCGTCAACACAGGTGTTGGACATGTCGGGCAATAAGCTGCAAACGCTGTCGAATGAGAAATTCATACGCGCAAATTTGTTGAACTTACAGAAATTGTATTTGCGCAGCTGCAAGATAGGCGAAATTGAGCCGGAAACATTTAAGGGTCTCACCAATCTGGTCGAACTGGATTTGTCACAGAATTTGTTGGTAGTGGTGCCTTCGCTGGCACTCAGTTATATCTCCTCGCTGCGCGAATTGACGCTCGCTTCCAATCACATACACAAGATCGAGTCTAACTCGTTCGCCAGTACGCCTGCGCTACACAAGCTGGATCTGTCGCACTGTGACATACAGTCCATAGCGCCACTAGCCTTCGATGGTCTGGAAGGTCTGACGCTGCTGCGCTTGAACGGCAACAAGCTGAGTGTGTTACTGCCACGCACGATCGAGACCCTGAGCAAGCTGCACGGCATCGAGCTGCACGACAATCCGTGGCTCTGCGATTGTCGCATGCGTGATGCGAAACTATGGTTGACGCAGAAGAACATACCTTATCCGGTGGCACCACTGTGCGCAGGTGGACCCGAGCGAATAATAGATCGCACCTTCTCTGACCTGCAGGTCGAGGATTTTGCCTGCCGGCCAGAAATGTTGCCCATCAGCCATTATGTGGAGGCGACAATGGGTGAGAATGCTTCGGTGGTGTGTCGCGCAAAAGCTATTCCAGCTGCCGTCATGAATTGGTATTGGAATGGTAGGCTACTAGCGAACAACAGCGCATTCAGTTCCTATCAACGCATACATATCTACGAGAGTGGACACTTCGAGAAACATTCGCGTTTAGTGATAACAAATGCACAGGAAACGGACTCCAGTGAATTTTACTGCGTTGCGGAAAACCGTGCAGGCACTGCGGAGGCCAACTTCACGTTACATGTGAGTATGCGTGCCGCAGGCATGGCGTCGTTAGGCAGCGGACAAATTGTTGGCCTTAGCGCGGCGTTGGTAGTGTTGATCGTATGCATTTTGCTGGCGGTTATGTTCCTGCTCATGCGTGTCAAGCGTCAGCCGTACACCGAAAGCAAGACGCCCAACCACATGGAGGTGGTGACGAGTGGCAATCATCAGAATTCTGTAACGAACAAGCAGCAACCTATAAACGGAAATGGAAACATGGGGGGCGTAGTTATTGTCAATGGCGACGTACCTAATTATATTGACGCAGCTTGCTCATTGGAACGAAAGAGCAGTGCAGCGATGGCGGCGAATGAGGCGGGCTTTGCCAACCCTGTGCAGAAACCACCGCGCCTCACCGATCTGCCATACTCCGCAACTGGCTATGACAATAATGGCAGCGTACTATCCACGGCACCCTGCTTTCTCTCGCCCACGGCGTCGGCTGGCAATAACCCAGATCTCATTAATGACACAAAACGTTACGGCAGTGATGAATTCGTCGATTTAAGAATACCAGCAATATTGACGGCAAATTTGGGCACCGAACTGGGCAACTCGAGTGGTGAATACAGTCGCGCGGGTGGTTGTGATTCACTGTACCCCTCGGGCTTGTGGGAGAATTCGCCTACGGGCAACTCCTCTGCCGACGACCTCTACCTGAAGCGTTATACTGATAAGACGCCTATCATGGAGTCACACCAACTTTACGACTTGCATGAACGCACCGTCGACTACTTCAGCAAAACATTCCCGCGCACGCACTATAACAACTTACAGCTCACCGGTGGATTGGCGCCCACCAATAGTAATGAAACAGTTGGCTCCAATGGTATGCTGCACAATCCCTCCACCTCGTCGGCAGCGATGCTGCATAACTCAAATGGCGGTGGTTTGGGTGGCACGAGTGGCGGTGGTACGCATTCGACGGCTTCAACAACCACCACTAATCTTTCGGGTTCGTCCAGCGCTGGTATTAGCGCCGGCGGCGGCGGCTATCCCAACGACTACGGCCTACCACTGGTACCAGGCGCGGAACACCAACACAATCATCACCTACAAATGCATCCACTGCAACAGTTGCAGCAACATATGTCAGCGGCAGCGGCGAGTCAACACGGTAGCGTTAGCGGCAGCAATCATAGTAGCCCACATTTCACCAGCAGAACACTACCGCGATTACATGAGCACAACAGCAGCGGTAGTAGTAGTGCTGGCGCTGGACTTACTAGCTCAAGATCATCACCCACGCCTACGGCAGCGGCAGCGGCAGCGGCGGCGGCAGGCACACTGTCGACGACTGTGAAGCAGAACGCAACGGGGCAAGCGCACACCTCGATACTACCGAACGGACAACCGGTGAACGCCAAAACATTACGCGTGTGGCAGAAGGGTGGTGTGCCAGTGTTGCCGCCAGTCACCGCGCTGAAGCGAGCGCTAACGAGCACTAATCGCAACTCACCGGACGAGGGTTATCAGGAGGGTTGCGGTACGGATGTGTAAAATCAGCGAGCGAACGGTGGGACAGCGGAGTCCTCATGCGCTGTAGACTAATAAGAAGACTTGCAATTACTAATCCGGGTATAGCGGAAATACAACTCGAAATTCTTGTATATAAGTAGATACTATGTGCTTCGTGGTCTGTTTGTTGGACAAATATGGTTTTAATTTTTTTTTTCGAAGTTCGATAATATTTTGTAAAAAAAATTGATCCTAGTATAATATTTTATTTTCAAACATATCTAGATATAAACGATATTTTGTGTGTATATTTTCCACTTCTTCTTTTTTTAAATTTTTCCGTAAAGAGTTTTTTTGTATATAATTTTTATTATTATTATTATTTTTTCCAAACCAGACTTCAGAGGAAGCGAATTTGTTTAATTATTTAGAGATTTTTGTACTGGGTAGCTGCTCTTCCAACTCACTCATAAGCAATGTATGCGTGCGTTGGACCATACGTTCGCGTAACTACTACTACTGCGGCTAGCAAGTGGTATAAAAATTTAATGTGATAGTGTTTGAGTAATTTATAACTGAAGATAATAATCGAAAAGAAAAAAGTAAACGAAAAGAATAATATTAACAAGTAAATAAAAAAAAAAAGATATATATATATATAATGTTTTGTCACAAGATATAAATGCATAAGTCACTTAGTAAATGAATTTCGAATGCATAACTACAAGTATACTTTTAGGGTTAACTAGTGTAAATAAATAATTTTAATAAATAAGTAGTGTAAGAAAACTATATAATAATAAGTTGTAGTAAAACATACTAAACATAAGATAAATAAATATGAATCGCAGTGTTTCAAAGTTGTGAAAATATGTATAAAAAGAAAAAAAAAATCCAAAACAAAACCAAAAAAAAAAAAATAAATTGCGAAAATTCAAAATTAAAACGAAACGCTCGAGTTATTATTAAAAACAAAAAGCTGACTGACTGAAATTGGTGTACTTAAGAAAGTTAAAATGTTTATGCAAATGAAAATTTATGTGGCGAAATTTGTGTCGAATGCTGGTCAAGGCGCACAGAATGCGGCTGCGACTGAATTGTTGGCGCTTCGCTGGTCGTGGAAGCGACGACAGGCAGAACTAGAACCATGCGTCGCGTAGCGTAAGTTAAAAGAAAAAAAAACAAAAAAAAAAAAAAACAAAAAAAAACAATAATATCTTTCCATTACTGCATTGCCAGTACTTCTTCATCTTTTTGAAACCTTATTTGCATACTTACAAAACAAAGTTTTCCTGTTTTTAATTTGCCAAGTTGTTTTTGGAATTGCGTAACAAGATAAGAGGTCACCCGATACTTATGCTTACCAATGATAAGTGAAAGCGAATAGGCGTCTTCTGGTTACAAATTGGATTTGAATAATAAGTACAAAAAAAATCACAGCTGAAAAGTGTTTAGCATAAAATTCACAAAAAAAAAAAATCTCAGAGATACTCCCAACAAGAAAAATGTTCTGCATTTATTTTGGCAATTTGTTTAACTTAGAAAAACACAACCACCAAAATGACTAAGTTTTGCGCATTTCGAATCTTCAAGCTGCAAATTAAATGTTGAGCGGAAACTTTTTCAAATGAGCTGGCTTGCAGAAATAAGCTATAAGCTGAGAATCTCTGATTTAAATTCCAAAACATACAAAACATTGTTCAAAACAGAACTGCGCATTAGCGATAAATTTAAAACAAGTCACGAAAAAAACAAGTTACGTTTCATTGATTATAAAAAAAAAAAACAAATAAATAAAAGTCGGGTCGAGAATATAAGTTATTTTCGAAATTTCATTGCAAAAAGTCAGTCGAAAAGAATTTGTCTATTTAGCACTCGTATATGAGCAAATCTCACGAGTTGTGTTTTTAGTGTCGCTCCCTTCTCTTGGCAGAAAAAAGGCTAACGAATTATTCTTGCCTTTATTTCAATCAATGGAGTTCAAGAAACCAGTACAATAAAAAATAAATCAAGTATGTGAACAATTTTAGCCTTTGAACGTTTATTTAGGCGGAAAAGTACTGAAATTACTCTTTTTTTTTGTCACTCTAAAAATCATAATTGTTTTTTTTTTTTTATAACTTTGGGAAGTTTTCAGATAGAATGTTCATATTAGAGGCAATGGACGTTGGCAGCAGATACAACATATCGAATAATTTCCAAGAGTGTGCCACGAAATTTAAAAAAATTGCAGCATTCAGAACATCTGTCGTGGATATTTTTTAATCTTTGAAATTAAAATTTTTTTTTTAAAGTTAAGTTTTACTTTTATATTTTGCTGAAAAACAAAAGTAAAATTTAAAATTTTATTTTTTACCGAAAAAAATAAAAGTCATATTTCAACTTTTATTTTTGACACAATCAGAATTTGATCTTAAAAATATCAGATTGGCTCTAATTTTTGAGACACTTTGACATAAAGGTGTCAAAAAACGATATACTAACATATTTTTTTACCGTTATAATATAAAAACAGTACATGTTGGAATATACAATATGTAAGGCAAGCTTAAACTCTACACACTAGTATTTTGGAGCTTTAAAGGCAAAATATCTCAAAAACTGAAGCCAATCTAATTTTTCTAATTCCCGATTCAGGTTATACGGAAAAAATTCTATAAGAATCGGGGTTTACTTTTATTGATATCATTTATTTTTTTGTCGATAAGTAAAATATTTTTTTTTTTTTAATAAATAGCGAAGCGAATTTTTTTCATTTATGTAACTGTGTAGACCTGGTTCAAAATCGTGGAACCTGCGATGATGCCCTCTGAAGCCGAAATGAAAGAAAATAATGCCCTATTTATAAACTTAGGTCCACGGGAACAAAATACAGCTTTAGTGTTTTCTTAAAAAATTTAAAATTCTAATTAATAAACTAAATAAAAAAAATTGTGAATAGTTAGATCCTCAATTACTTATTCACCAAAGGATTTTCTGCTAAATGACATTGATACTGTTTGCGCCAAATTGGAGTATTTTCGGAAGTTATTACTGCAGGAATAGATTAAATTTTCTGAAGAATTTCATTTTCTTAAATTCTTATTTCACTTAAGTCTTCTTGCAAAGGCGCTTCAAAGGATCTTTCATCGACTGGCGTTGTAGGACTTCTATGTCCCACAATTTCAATTTTATTTATTTTGCCGGTTTTATCATTGCCTGGCGTTCGTTGCAACCGGTTTTGGAACTGAATACTTCGATCAACATCCATTGTTGTTGTTGGTCGGGGCTGATCACGCTGTGAAATTGTCTTCACAATATTATTTCTTTGCAGTTGACTTTGTCCAAAACAAAATTTTGTGTTCTCCCAAATTGTAGAGCAAAGGTTGCTTATATATTATTTGATTCGAGTTCCTGTGTTTTTGCAAAGGCGTTGGGTAAATCACTTGGTGAAATCAGAATTTAAAATTGTCCTATGGTTTGACAAAAAATCGTTTACGCCCTGGGTAACATTGTTTCGTAAAATCGTTAGTGCAGAAAAATTGTCACGCTGCCTTTCATATAAAAGCTCATAGCAATATTAGCTGATTGCCTCCAGCTATATTTGTTTTGCTTACTAGAAAATTGGTTATCATTATTTAAGGCCTCCAGTTTTGTATTTCAACACTTCACTTATTGAGGACACTTTCATTTCGTTTTTTTCAATAAGGATACTTTTCAGTTTCATGGTTTCCAGCGCAATAATCCCAATAATATAATCTTTCATACTTTGTACCATTCGGAATATTACCCATTTCAAAGCTTACCATTTTTTATCAACCTGAATCATTACTACAGTTTCTGATTCTAATGTCTCCCGGTTATAGCAATCTGCGAACGTGGCTTTTTATCCTTTCTTATATATCTAAAGACTGCTGTCATGATTCAGTAATAGAACAGTCTTCTCGCTCCCACACATTAAATCGGCTCTTTTACTTATACAGAATGTTGCTCACTCTACAGTTTCTAGTTAAATTAGTAGCAAAACCAAAAATTCTTCATACCCGATACTCGTTTGCGTAATTTTCTGGAATAAAACTAGAAAAGCGACCGTTTAGCTATAAAATAACCAAAAATGTCGACTGATAGAACCTTTTACGCTGGCGCAGGTAATAAATAAAGAAGATATAAGAGGTTTATTTGCTTTGTTTATTTAAATTTTTTATTCTCACTATATTCTTGAAACCCAAAAGTAGATCATGATAAAATATGTATATCGAATTAATAATAACAACTTGTACTTTCTGAATAATATAATTTTTTTACCATTAAATATGCATTTTTTCAAAAACGGTTATTTCATGAAAAAATAATATTTGTTCGTTTTTTAGTGATTTGGTTTAAAAATAAAAGTAATTATATATTTTTTATTATGTTAGCTGAAAGAGTTCGTAAGATATTAATATTTGAAAAATCAAAAAAATGAATTTCAACCTAGAACTTTTTTTATTTTTTACTTGCGCCAAATAATTTTGGCATGGTTAAAATAAATGTAAAAAGTTCTATTGATCTGCATTTTTCGTTTTTGCGTAGCTGAACGGTCGATATCTAAATTTTGTCCCAGGAAATGACGAATAACTTAAATTTAGAAATCATATTTTTACATATTATTTAGTATTTTCATTAAAACACCAAATATTTATATTGCAAGTTCACATAGAATTAATAATACATATTGTTCTTTGTAATTGTATGCTTTGCGTACTTTTTTTAATACCTTTCTACTACCGTTTTGGCAGAAGGCGATCACATTAAAATACCAATCGCACACCCTTTTCAAAAGAGTCACAACATTTTTGAAATTATGTGCTAAAAATGTACACAGAGCTTTTATTTACCTCTCAGCAAAGGCTGGAGAAAATTTTTGTTATAATTTGTTAAAAGAAAACCTAAGGTAAAGTCGCAGTAGTATGGTTAGCATGTGCTACGAAATAGTTTTTCGCATTTTCTGACGAACGTATTTAATTTGAGTTGTGACTCTTTTGAAGACGATGTGCGAAATCTAGATAAAAGAGTGTACAGTTTGAGCTTACACAAATACACAAATACATATCCTTGTATTATTTAATTATGGACTGCTGTCATGCATTTA